ATGCTTGCCCATAATGTAGCGGGTACACAACGTGCATACACTGATTCTCTCATAAACACACATGCAGTAGTTTTTATTTTTGCAAATAATACATTATAACAAGGAAAAATATTAACACATGAGGGAAATCATTGTGGTTTACATGAAGATGAAAAAACCGAATTACCTATTTTTTTTAAGGCTAATTGGAGTACTGGATCAGACCTGTTTTCCCAATAGTGGCAAGAAACATACGTATAGGCTATAATGTTTAACCGGCGCTGATGTGCGAGGGTTTCTCCCATCCCCATACAACGTCACCTCTCTGTCTTTCACTGCCCTTACAAGAACGTCGGACTAATCGGCTGTGAACGCTCCTGCCGCACGCCTGGTAAACCCGCCGTTATAATATTCTATACAACATTCTCACCCCAAGGCGTCACCTTTGACCATGCTTCAATATTTGAGGTTTTAGGCACCCTTTAGCGTCACTTACATGACGCGATCCTACGGCGTCATCTAACTGACGCTAAAGGAGAGTCAGTTAGAGGACGCGGTTAGGTTTAGGTCTGGGGTGGGGGTAGGGTACACGCGATCCTAGGGCGTCATCTAACAGACGCTAAAGGGCGCCTAAAGCGTCAAATATTGAAGCATGGTCAAATGTTTGTTAGGTGACGCCTTGGGGGTGAGAATGGGCTGTATAATAACAATCCGTCATGCAACATGTAACACAGTCTCATCCCAAAAAGTCTTATAACTGACGTCTTGGGACGTCTTTTGACCATACGTCAATATCCGCCTTTTTAGGGCCCCCTTAAACGTCGGTAGATGGCGATCCCGGGCCGTCATACAACTGACGCTTTACCTTTAACATCAGTTAGGTGACGGGTTAGGTTTAGGGTTAGGTTTAGGTCTGGGGTAGAGTTAGGATCCCATAACCTCATCTTCCGACGTTTAAGGGGGCCCTAAAAAGGCGAATATTGACGTATGGTCAAAAGACGTCCCAAAACGTCAGTTATATGACGTCTTGGGATGAGACCGGGTTGCAACATGCGCACCTGTTCTTAAAGGGTATGTTGGATGGCGCTCGGATTGGTTTATTTCACGTTACGCCCACACATATGAATAATGAAGCTACTTCAGACCAACCCCTTTTTGATTTGCGCCCGGCGCAAGAGGCATTTATCCCGCCGGGAAAATAGCAACAGCGCCGGGACCCGCCCACAAAGTTACGTGCGCCATGCACTTTGACACTGGTCGTTCAGATCGTTAAAATAGGGCCCAAAGTGTCACTGTTTTTCTTTAGTGCATTTTCCAAGCCAAAAAAGACCATGCAAATGACACAGGAAATATAAGGCATGGTACATCCAGTACTAATTACTAATCTAATTACTAAAGTAACTTGTTAATGCTACAAATATTTCAGTGTGACTCTCATTTCTAAAAAAACATCCCTTCTTTAGAACCTGTCACCACACAGCCTGGCCGAAAGAATTGCACACTGCTTTATTAATTGCACACTGAGGAACAAAGGGGGAAAGGCTGCCAAATCCAAATGGACTCAGATGAAAAGCAAAGACGAGACTCGATGTCTCTGAAGAGGGTCTCAGAGCTGTATTCACAAGCTCAAGTGACAATAGAGGATATTAGATTCTCAAAATCCACCACACAACAGTTATTCTAGACAAAGAGATGTCTCATGGTACTGACAGAGAGGCTGCTTTGGTGGTATTAGTTTAGTGGTTAAAGACCTGAACCCAAACATTTTCGAATAAACCGTAAATAATGATTGATACATGAACCATCAAAACTATATGCCTTTGATAAAATAACTACATATTAAAGTTCCAATAAAGTTCCAGTATGCTCTATCTACCGCCTGGTAAGGGGAGATATTACAGTCAATAAAGACACAGGACACAGTCTCAGTCCTCTAGAAAGAATAAAAAAAAATGTTTGTTTGTTTTTTTTTCTCACTGTTTCTATACCTTAAATGTAATGTATCAGGTACACTAGCAGGTACACTATACCATTCATAGGTTTGGGGTTTTTTGAAAGAAGATTATTTCAACGCATTCTCATCCCAGGGCGTCATATAGTGACGCTTTTGACAAAGCACATGGCACCCTTTAGAGTCAATATAACACGCTTCGGTTATGGGTAGGTTTAGGTCTGGGGTAGGGTTAGGGTTAGACCACTAGGAGGCGCCTTCTGGCCCATATATATATCTGTGTCTCATATGGCGCTTTTTCACTACACAGTACCAGCTCGAATTGACTCGGCTCGGCTTGGCTTTGTTTGATTTCCACTGTGTAAAAGTTGTACCTGTACCTGCTTTTGGGTACTTTTTTTGGTATTACCTCAGGCGAGGTTCTGAGCGAGCTAAGGCGAACTAAGCCGGTACTAAAATGTGACATATTAACAATGCCGATTGCTGATTAGTCAGAGAGAATCGTCACCATTCACTGCGTCATCATATACGCGCCGAAATAGTTTGGCCAGAGATAGTTTCTAAACTTACTACTCTTATTATTATGGCAACTTGGAAGAATACGCCGTGGTCAAACGAGGAGGTGCAGACTTTTCTTTGTTTGGTTGCCGAAGAAGAGAGGATCCTGAGAGAGCTTGATGGGGCAGCGAGGAACGAAAGGCGTCGCTATGACGACCGGGTACTATTTGTGGCGGTACTGTCTGCAATGGAAAACGGAGCCTAGGCGAGTCGAGCTGGTACTGGTAATGGAAAAGCGCCATTATTGACGCTAAAGGGTGCCATGTGCGTTGGATGGATACACGTTGTCATAAGCGTCACTATATGACGCCTTGGGATGAGAATGGGTTGATTATTTAGTATGAATTTATTTAATCAAAAATGCAGTAAAAAGAGTATGTGAAATCTCTCTTTCTTTCTTTTTTACAAAGTAAAATCTTAAATCTGCAAAATAAATGATTTAACTGTAAAATAACAGCTTTCTTTATTTATATATTTTAAAATATATTTATTCCTGTGATGAAAAAGCTGAATTTCAGTGTCACATGATCCTTCAGAAATCTGATTTAGTGGATTTTTTGATGAATAGAACGTTCAAAAGAACAGCATTTATTTGAAACCGAAATTCTTTGTAACATTGTAAATGCTGATATTTTAACTTTTGATGAGTTTATAATGCATCCTTGCATAATGAAAGTATCTGGAAACACTTTACTTAAAGGCTTTATATAGTGCATTAAAAACATATTTTAATGCATTAAGTATGCCTTTTAATGCATTGTATGGTCTCATTAATAATTGTAACCACAGTTACAATACGGATCTATTCATTGTTAGACATTTAGAAAGTATAATGCATTAAAACACATGACAAACAACCAATTTCAGATGTAACAAGTAATCTGCAAATATATTGCATTTGAATATTGGTTACATTTATTTATGAAAATATATAATGCATTATAATGTACATTATGAATACCTTTATAATGCATTCATATATATATATATATATATATATATATATCACGGCTGGCTGAGGATGAAGATGAGGTGAGGAGAAGTGGATCTAAAATAGCAGCTTAAGTTTATTCAACAAAACAAAAGAGTAGAATTCAACAAAGAGTAATCCATCACAATGAGTAAGCAACACAACAGCATTATATACATAAAGAAATAAACAAATGAAGAACAGGTGCGAGTAATCAATGAAACAATGAGTAACTACAGCCATGTTTGGACGGTAACTACTTCTCACGTGAACTTCCGTAAATATACATTTGAATGACACCTCAGTGATAAAACTCATGCATGAAATAATAATAATAATAATAATAATAATAATTACATATTTAATTTACTAATAGGACAATAATCTCCTAATTAGTATTTGATTATTTAAATCTGTATAAAAATAGGAAGAAAGATGCACACGCTATAGTTAAAATGGTTTTCTGCCTTTTTATCTCAAAATGATATGTCATTTTTAAAATGTGGAAATTAATGGAAATATGTTAATACGTCTTACAGTATTAATATGAGGTAAACATAAAGCTGCTCGGTTTATATTTTTAATATACTTTCTGCATCCCATTTCTAAATGTTTACATGCAGTTCTTCTCTTTCTCTTTTGAGCTGTGATGAAATATTGTTCTTGTAAATACTTTTCAGCATTTCAGTAATAAAAGTGTAGGAGTAAAAAAAAAAGTACAAAGTAATAAAATAATAAATAATAAGCAGTAATAAAAGTGTAAGATCTTTCAAATGCATCAAAATTACAGTGAAGCGCAACAGCTCTCGAATGGTGCTCGTCAAGGGCCAAAAAGGTTTTAATCCATATATCTTTGTGAAACATGATATTCAGTGAGTAAAAATATTATATAGCATGAATATCATATAATGAGGATGATTTGACTCAATAATAAACTCATTTAATTTTCCAAATTTTAAACATTTACTTTTTCAAAATTTTAAACATTTACATTTTCAAAATTATTATTATTATTTTCAATTTTTTAACATTTTATTTTACTTGTCTGGGTGAAATTGCAATAATGTTGAAAAATATCTGAACATTTTAAGCTTTATTGCTTTGCTTTAGAAGCAAGTTATTACATTTTGATTCAAGATACCACACATAAATAGTTTACTTGAATTGTGCACAATAAGACAGATAACACGGATTAATAAAAATAAATTGTGTCAGTTCTTATTTCATGTTGACTTCAGAGTGAAAAGATAAGAGGAGCCTGACAGCACCGCAAGAGTTCAAAATATTTTTTCTATCAAATGTATTCTCTGACAATAACACGATCAAAAATCTATTACTGCTAATGTCAACCACTGTTTCACCTCGATAGCAGCAGAAACATGTTTCCATGGATACAATGCTCAATATTTCAACAAGCTATTTATTATTGCCCATGAAGTTATTGTATTAAAGGCTCATTTTCACAAATAAGAACACAATCTAGCACACACACACACACACACACACACACAGAGAGAGACTTCAAAACTGACTTTCACTTACATAATAGAGCTGTCCCACAGTGCACAAAATGGATTCATTGTTCCCTGCAAGAAAACACACACACTGTGATTGGACAAGCGACATAACTATTAGACATACCACAGTACATACCGATAAAGAGACATTTTCACTACGATAGCCAGTATCTCAAAACATAAGTCATGTTATTTAATAGACGCATTAAGAAGGAATGGGAAAAAAAGCTCCCATTGTAATCATCTGGGCCATATCTTGATGACACAATGAGGAGAGAAATAACTGGTGATGGCAAATTAATTATCGGACTAATTACTGCTATTTGTCTGTTGATTAATGAGCCTGAAACATATGTCAGAGGTATTGTAGAGCTCCCATTTGATTGGCTGGAGTGATTTAAAGAGGAACAGAAGACCATATTTCCTTCCAATTTCAATCCAAATCCACCCAGATTTGTCTTCTAGTTTCTCTTTAAAAGACCATATGTTGCATTGCCTTGTGTCAGCTTTTGGCTTTTTACATCAATTGCAAGGGAGTATTTGAATCAATTTGATTAGTGTTGCAGGACCATATGATACGTTCACAGTCCATGCAAGCAGGAAATGCTCTACAAACCCAAACCATTTGAGAGAACGAGTTTGTGGACTTGCTAAATAACATCAACACTATAAATGACTAAAAAATGTCTATGACTGTGACTTTTGCCAAATTACTAGTTTTCTTCTTAATCTACTTAACACAGTCTCATCCCAAGAAGTCATATAACTGACTTATAACGTATAACTTATAACTTATAATCATATAACGTCTTGTGACGTCTTTTGTCCATACATCAACATCCACCTTTTTAGGGTACCCTTAAACGTTGGTTACATGACGATCCCGGGCCGTCATACAACTGACGCTTTACCTTTAACGTCGGTTAGGTGACGGGGTAGGTTTAGGTAGGGTTAGGATCCGATAACGTCATCTAACCGACGTTTAAGGGTACCCTATAAAGGCGGATGTTGACGTATGGTCAAAAGACGTCCCAAGACGTCAGTTATATGACGTCTTGGGATGAGACTGCGCTGATCTACCAATTACGGGGGGTTTCGGGTAAGTTTTTGGACATACTTGTTATGCATCAGCATCATTGTTCCATGTTTTAAACCTTTAATCACAAAAGGATTCAAACTACACAATCACATTGCACCTCAAAGCATTGCCTGTATGACGCTATCGGCTCTGACAGTTAGAAGATATTCAAGAAAATGTTATAATTATAATAAAAAAAAAATATATTATTTTTATCAGTTACAGTTGTAATCAAAATTATTCAGCCCCATTGTAAATCAGATTTATAGGCAAAATGTACAGACGTTCAGCTGTTTGCAATGAACAAATCAAACAAAAGTAATTGAAATAGCTCAACACAACAAATGTTTCAAGTGGTTTCCCCAAATTCAACTAAAAAATGAACTCTTTAACTGACTTCCCCAGTCTAAAATTTATTGAATAGAATCCCTCACAACAGCACAAATCTGCAAAACAGGTGTTGTCTCAAGCACACCTGATGCAACTAATCAAGGGCTTCATTAGTAATACCAGGTGTGCTTGAGCTAGAACACATGAAATATCTTAATTGTCGTGTAAATGATTCAAAATGATTCAACGGGATTCAAAATTCAGGTTTTTGAATCATCTCAGTGAACAAAAGCGTGAATTTGTAAAAACGGTGGCGTCATGCGCATGCGTCTTACGTTTTCAGTCAACAGGTGCGTAGTGTTTTTTTTTTACAATGTGACATCGCCAACTACTGGCCTGGCATAAATAATTCAGTGTTTTTAGTTGTTTTTGTGGATGGGGTCGGGGATCATTTTGACAATTGTCGTCTTTTTTCTTTCTTCCTTTTTTAGTACATCATTGTCATGTAAATGTACCATAAAACACAAACTGAACTGAATATGTTTATATTTCTGTGTTGTAAATGAACATGCTTTGTATGAATGATGCTTAATGAATGCAAAGTTGTTTGTTGTTTGGACCCCATTCACTTTCATATTTTCATTGAGGCGTCATTAAGGCGCATTATTGGGACATAAACTCATGTTAAACAGTCACAGTATCCACAGTTGTTTATATCTGTAAGAGGAATTGATTAAATTGCCAATAGATTTGGGGAAATTTAAGAGATAAATAAAAGAAGTTGTTATCTCTAACCTCCTATTTAAAGGCTTTTGATGGCATCAATAAATGGAGGGTCTTTGGGATATAAAGGCTGTACAACAATTCCTTGTTTGAAAGTGTTTATTGACTACATGTATTGCATTAATGGCAAATTAACATGCTCCTTTTAACCAACATACCAATAAAACAGCAAAAGAGTCTGAGAGGTTTTAGAATATATGTGACCACCATGTCGGCATCAATTAGCCTCTCTGGATTGTGTGTGTGAAGCGTGTTGAGATCTGACTGGTACTTACATTAGCTAGATGAGCTAACTCAATCTCCAGCTGGGCTTCTGTAACCCTGGGTTCTGGTCGGACAGTCACAGCAATCACTTTTGAGTTCACAGCAGTGTTATTCCTGTGGGTTAGATCACAATCACAGACAACAGTCAGTTCAAGCTTGAAAGAGAAATGCTAATTTCATTCATTTCAGTACTTCCATTATCATCAGCATTGATTTTTGTTTAAACTCTTCGTTCTGCGCATTTGAATGGACCGAGCTTATTTAGCACAGAAGTATCTCTCCAGGTTTTTGTTGGTGTTTGTAATGAGTGTGTTTCACTTCAAATGAGATATGTTCTGCTAGCAGAGACCAGAAATGTTGATATGTTTGACAACTTTGATTTTGGGGGGTAAATAAATAAATAAATAAATGCCACTCAATATCAAACTTTAAAGATGGGAAAAGTTACAGCATATTAAACACAAATTGAAATATTTAGACGTTTTTTGATTAACTCGATTAATGATTGCCTCTGGGTAAAATGAACACTTACAGATGAAAAGCAGGCATTCGTCATCATTAGACTTTTTGATTTCATCATCAAACCCAATATTTGTTGGCTGTGTGTATATTTCAAACATATTCAAGTGCTTTTATTATAAGCACAAGAGTACAAAAACATTTTACGTTAAACTTCAAGTAGACTTAGAAGTCAAAATATCTCTCTTTCCTTTCATGCTTCCCTCATTCTCTGACTAAACAAATTTTCATTGAGTATCATTTGTCAACGTGAACTGTTTAGGCCGGGCATGATTTCATGGTCCATTTAAAAAGAAGCAAAGACAGAAAATGGATGCACAACTCAGTGAGAAATGAATTTTATGAAAGTAATCGACAAAGATGCCACATCTGAGACAGATCTTTCAGTTCTATGCCTCTGACATTATTTTACAGTCTGCCACACTCTTTGTTTTCGATTATTGTAGTCAGAATGCACTTGTATTGACCCGAAGAAGAAAAAAAGGAAACCTCTGTAGACTTAGCCATGGCAAAAAAAAAATGTCTCTATGTTAGTAAATCATCCTAAAGGCAAAAACGAATCCTTTTGAAATTAGATCAAAGACATTATCTGTGCATGGTTAACCAGCCTCTTGGTTTGATTTAATGAAGCAGAAGTGGACTAGTATGGTGTCATGAATGTCCACACAGCCTGAAAGGCATGCAATAACATGAAACTCTTAAAGAGATAGTTCATCCAAAATTAAGAATGAAAGTCTGCACCAAAGTTCATGTTTTGACACATTTTATACATTCGGTAAGTTTTGGTTTGGTTTCACATTGCAATCATGCGTGCGCACTAAAGAACTTTACATGACATTTGCGTCCTGTCCAGCGCAGTCTCATCCCAAGACGTCATACAACTGACGTTTTTGACCATACGTCAACATCCGCCGTTTTAGGGTACCCTTAAACGTCGGTTAGATGACGTTATCGGATCCTAACCCTACCCCAGACCTAAACCTACCCTGTCACCTAACTGACGTTAAAGGTAAAGCGTCAGTTGGATGATGCCCCAGGATCGTCATCTAACCGACGTTTAAGGGTACCCTAAAATGGCGGATGTTGACGTCTGGTCAAAAGCGTCAGATGTATGATGTCTTGGGATGAGACTGTGTTATCCTGTCGCAATAATCTATGTGGGCTGCATCTTGACATTAATTGGTTTGTATAATTGACATATATCATTGCCACTATACCGTACAGCACCAACTATACTCGAGGCTAGTTCAAATTCGCCAAATGAACGTCCTCGTTGTGCGAACATTTTATCGTTGCCGGCAGGAAAGGAGGAGAACACTGCAAGCAATACTGAGAGAGCAGCAAACTTCTTATGCCATATGTCAGCCATACTTCAATTAAAACCCGTGTCACCTCATCTACCCATGGCTATTTTTTTCTGCTATCTTCTGCTTTCTTCGTGGCTACACGAGAACCAACTTCCTGTAAAAGGTCTGAAAGTCCGAACCATACATTAAATGCTTTCCCACTAGAAATGAATCAAACCTTTGTTCAGTTTGATTTGGACCGAGACTACCTCTTTTCATTGGACCAAATTTCATCTGTTTGGTTAACACAGTCTTATCCCAAGAAGTCATATAACTGACGTCTTGGGACGTCTTTTGACCATACGTCAACATCCGCCTTTTTAGGGTATAAACGTCGGTTACATGACGATCCCGGGCCGTCACACAACTGACGCTTTACCTTTAACGTTGGTTAGGTTTAGGGGTAGGTTTAGGTCTGGGATAGGGTTAGGATCCGATAACGTCAACTAACCGACATTTAAGGGTACCCTAAAAAGGCGGATGTTGACGTATGGTCAAAAGACGTCCCAAGACGTCAGTTATATGATGTCTTGGGATGAGACTGCGCTGGTTTGGTCCGAACCATGGTCTGGGGGAGGTTTCACACCTGTAATTTTGATTCGGACCAAACTGAAAATTCAGAAAGTCCGAACCAAGACCAAAGAAGGTAGGTTTGAAAAGGGCCCTTCAATTCTGTCTTATGTATGCATACTCAGTCATGACTTTCCAAACTCATATGACTTTCTTTCTTTCATGGATCACAAAAAGTCGTTTTTTAACAGAACATTTTAAATTTTTGTTACTTTAAAGGAGCCGTATGCAAGATTGTGGCCAAAACTGGTACTGCAATCACTTTCAAATTACTGTAGAGTGGCATATTTACTTCGGACATTGTCACAAAGTATTTCGGATTTATATCAAGCTTTTTTTTTTTGGTTTTCACAATGTTACACCGTGTCCTAACTACACGCGATGTGATAAAATTCCAGCGACAGCAAGTGTGTCTGTCCACACTATACATGACACAACTGTGAGACGCCACACGTCAATCAAAAATCACAGCCATTCAGAACAGCATGTGGGCGGAGTCTCTCTGTGAAAGCGCACTGCTGGTCCGCACTCGCATTGGAAATGGGTAAGGACATAATCAAATCAAGAAATAATATTATTAAAAATCAAAACATTAACAAAATATACTCATTGACTAATTTTGTTATGAAGTAAAGTTGTAGGTTTGCATAGAATTCATTTTGAACGCTATATTATATGGTTTCAAAATCTGAGGTAAATTATCTGTTATCGCTTGTGGCACAGTGATGCCTTTGAACTTCGACAAACTTCGGAACTTCCATGTTTGATGATTAAATATTCATGACACGTAGAACTTCCATCCAATGAGATCTCTGTGTGGGTGGATCTGTCAGCCACAACGTCGCAGAAATAGGAACCGTTCTAAATTAGAAACGTTGCGTGTCGCCGTCGCATCTGGTTAGGACAAAAAACTCTGATTAACATGGAAAAGATACCTTTTATCGTGTGCCGTGGCATCGCGTGTAGTTAGGACACAGTGTTAGACATTTTTTTTATCCGATTCCGACATGTTTGTAGCTTCAGCTGTGGTAACTAGAACAGAGCTGGCAACCCGAATGCCGCAACACTACTGACTCCGAGATTGTTAGATCGGTGGAGGGTGGAGCATCAGAACAAAACACAACATGACAACATCAACATCAACAATCAGTTGAGGGCTGCAACTTTACTTTATAAAATGACAATAATCTGGCCGGACTACTGTTGTCAGTGATATAAGTATTTGAAATGAACATGATTTCTTAATGTCTAATGACATATCAGGGAAAATGTATGATTAATTGAAATAAATTTCTTGCATACAGCTACTTTAACCATATAATGAAAGTAAACGGTGACCAGGCGTTAAGACTATACAAAAAAAAAAAAAAAAACTAATTAACTTATGTCTATATAACTATATTTGCATACCACACTACAATTTAAGTCTTTTGGAGCTATATGACTGACTGAAACTTAAATTCATTGAAAATCTTAACTGGAAAGCCTAATTTACTATCATTATATGGAAAGGAACAGCTTAGATGCTTTGTCTACTGGCATAAAAAGAGAAGATATTTATACCAGATTGTTACTTTTTTGATGAACTATCACTTTCAAATGAGATGTTCTGTAACTGTTTGCATCTAAATCACTAAAACCAAGTATCCATTTAAGTGTTTATGCGCTGTTGATTCTCATAGTATGATCATCACAGTATTTTGTCTTGTGATTAAATGTTCAACGGCGTGATCCGTCTTTACAAATCCCTCAGCCATGTTGCATTGTTTTTGTTTGTTTATTTTAACACTTCTCTTCTGTTATCTTCCACTGTTTGTTCTGATCTCCCTACTGGCTTCAGTGAATCCAACAGAGCTCAAGAACAGTGGAACGCCCTTTCTCTCTGTTCTTCCACCAACTCTCTCCCTGTCAGTGGAAATTCCATGGAGGAATCATCCTCAGGTTTACTGAGATTTGATTGACAGCTCAGAGCCACACCAGGAAAGGTCTGTTCTGTCCTGCATGTGTCTCCGGAGGTTTAAGCAGAAGTCCTCAAATGGAACAGAAGGTTTTGATCCAGAACTTCAAGACGGACTCCGAGGATAACCAAGAATTTTCATTCTGAGGTATGTCTGGGAGAGAAAACACTATAGTCTGTTATACCTGCTTCTGTTTTAGGACTAAAATCAGAAGGAATTTGAAGGAACAGCTATCTTAAAACCCAAATATTTATTTTTGTGTGCACAGTATTTACCACTAGGCTTTAATACATTAGCCACATAACTCAGATTCACAAAAATCCCTTACATAAATACCTTATTAAGACCATAATAAACAATGACTAGGCATGCGAACCAAAGGAGTGGAATAATGCTGCAATCACGTCATGGCAGAATTGCCGTAATTACGAGATGACAAATCAGAGATTCTACTTTAAGCAGTTTACGTCCTCAGACTCAGTTTCTATGGCAACACTCATGATGTCAAATGAATCCATCCTGCAAAATACACATCAATACATTAGTTCCGAAAGAGTGATAAATGTTGAGAACGCTGTCATTTAAGTTCTTAAAAGGACATCATGTGGCCAAGAAGTCTTAGCTGGAATGATGAGATTGACCAAAACATGAATGGTTTGAAACTTATAATTATGGCAATTCCAAAGCTGACATGAATCCAACAGAATTCATTTGCTAAAAAAACAGAAGACACCTTCAGCATTTCACCCATAATTAAAAGTGACTGGTTACCGTACACAGTATATAACAGCATACACATGGCAAGAAGCTATACTAATTAAATGAAATCAAATGAATTTAATAGACAAATGAAGAAATAAATAAATAAAACCAATTCAGTATGGGGTTTTCTGTACGAGCAGGTGTGCGGTGGTATGGAAATACATAATTTGACACGCAGATAGGACATCGTATCATTGCATCGTATTGGTCCGAATGCAATGATTGGGTGATCATTGGTCCTACGACTTCAGCAGAAGATATCAATACATATAAATACATTAGACAACTTAACTTAGTCATTGCTATCAGGATATGAAGAGAATTTCAACCAGTATAACACAAAGTGTCTCTGGGACAAATCATCTACCCTGGCTTTAATACATGGAAATTTGGGCATATAGCCCATTTTAAGTAAAAAGAAATAATTGATACTGTGGGAGAAAATATCAGACTCACAAAGTATCATATTCTGCTACGGGTCTCACAAATGTATAAAACTTGCACACATTACACATTATTTCATTTCCTTTCCATAAAAAGGCACTTAAAGGAGAACTCCGGCGCAAAATGAACCTTTGGTCTAATAAAAGATTGGAGATTTGATTTCATGATAATCGAATGTAAAGAGTTTTATCTTTAAAAACTGTTTGGCGTATATGCTAGTAAATGGGGGCATATACAGTAATAAGTAAAGAGAAATCGCTAGTTAAAACCACTAACAAGGCTCAAAATAGCCCCACACTATCACAGTAACATAATGAGGGTCCTTACAAGCAAAACGAAGCATTGAGAACTTTGTAAGTGTACAGACCGTTTAATAAGAAGATACTTTATAAAGACAGTCAACTTCGTGTATACAGGCGGTGCCATCTTTGGAAAACAGCCTTGACAAGTCGAACCACGAACGACGTGCCAAGTAAGCTGAACTGCATGAACGGCGTTCTTGGTTCGAAGTTCTCAATGCTTCGTTTTGCATTTAGGGACCCTCATTATGTTACTGTGTTAGTGTGGGGCTATTTTGAGCCTTGTTAGTGGTATTAACTGGCGATTTATTTTTACTTATTATATGCCCCCATTACTAGCGTTATACGCTAAACAGTTTTTAGAGATAAAGCTCTTTACATTGGATTATCATGAAAACAAATCTCAGAGAATGATTGACTAGGTACCGATGTTTTATTAGACCAAAGGTTCATTTTGTGCCGGAGTCCTCCTTTAACTATCAGAATGAATCCTGATTAGTTATTTTAACCAAGACATTCTTCTGATTTACAGGTTCAATCAATCAAAAATCTTTACAAGTAGTCCCTAGGGTACACGTACCCCAGTTTGGTAATCTGTCCTCTATAATATCCTTATCATATCTTTGTAATATTTCATCTAAATGACCGGAGATGAACTGAGTCTTACCGTGGAGCGGGCAGCATAAGGCCAAGAGTCTTGTAGAGAACCATTCCGAGAATGAATACAGGAGATCCATCCATATCTGCCAGGAAACAGTCTAGGTTAGATGATACATTCATCACATTATATGATCATATTAAACAGCATCTTCAGACAAAGGTGTGTTTTTCTCAGCTCTCTTTTCAACTCTCAACTCATCAACACAGAGGTTTTTTTTTTCTTCCGCTAACTCAGAGTGAGGCAGACAGTAGGGATTCTCTCCTATACCTTCCCCTTCCATGCAATAATCTTTTAATCCAAAGTAATTGAACAAGATTTGTATTTTTTTTCTTTTAAAACCTATACAGGAATTAATTAACCCCTAAACCTGCAAAATACTCATTAAATATCAGGTCTCTTGCCAAACAGTATTCCTGACAGCTAATCCATCATACATTTCCTGCCAATAATGAATAAAGTGGTAGATTAGGCTATACTAGCAAGGTTATTGATAACTAAGATCAAATGTCTTCTGTGCTGACAGAAAGGCTAATCCTGGTTCAAACAGCTCTGTACAGCCCTCTAGTCTATAGCTCAAGCCGAGCTGGAGTGAGTTATGTATTAAATCAATCCTTCATTACTTTCCTCTGATACACTTCAGATAAGACTGATCACCCTAATTAAGTAAATAGTCTGGAGCACTGTTGCTTAGCTCTCTTTACTATCATTGTTTGAGAGGATCCAGCGAGTGCTGTGTCATCTGAATTGATGTGGTCGACCAAGTGCAGTCTCCTCTAAAACAGGCAAATGGCAAGTGGTTGAGATATAATCTTGTAATCTTAAAGCTATCCAATTAAACAGGTCACACCCTGTCAACGCTTTGAAATTTTTAGCACAATTGAATGGTAGCGATTACGAAACATTCATTTTAATATCGCCCTGATAATCCAAAATAACAAAAAATGTTATTATTTTATAGCATTTTAAAGTCATTATCACAAAACAAACTCTTAACGGGGTGATCAAAATACCAATGTGAAGTCACACTGTATCCCACTTGCATATTAAATGGCTACACATTAAACAGATAAAATATTATTCATGCAGATTTGGGTGTATTTTTTTACGTGAGAAGAAAGAGAGTATGGAGTGATATAATAAATATTACTAGCAAAATTTTAGTATAATGAATAGTGGTCATTGTCTAGAAATATGCAACAGTTGACCAATCAGAATTAAGTATTACAGAATGCCTTGCAATAAGAAAAACAAAGAAATATATGGGTGATTATTTTTCAACTTTACTGTTTGTCCCCCACATAGACTTTTGTGAAATTATACTTTGCACTTTTTTAATATGAACTATAGGCCTACCAAAGAAAACCAATCATGTCTTTTTATTCTGTTTTATGAGTGTAACGTTTTAACTGATTTTTTGCTTCATTTTTCAAGATTTCACATATAGTGGATCTAATAATCACCCATATATAGTTTAAAATTTATACATGTTGTCAACTTATGAACTACTCTGCAAAAATCCCGCATTCCTTGAACATATGGGGTCTAAGATTCATACTTTTCAGAACAAAACAGAACAGAACAAATACTGTTAACGGGTTGAATGAAATCTAGTCAAGTCACTTTCATTTACATAGCACTTTTAACTAAACAGATTGTTTCAAAGCAGCTTTACAGTGATAATTAATGGAACAGCTTGTTTTGGCTTTACAACAGCTCTAGAATAAATTTATTGTCCAGCTAAAGTTAGTTTTGATTGATTCACTTCATTTGAATCCTTAATGTTAATGTAGCCTTATTGTACTACATAAGATGTACAGTATCATCAACTTCCACTATGTACATTACCTGCTGTCTGGGGTACAAATATTCCTTTGGGAATGACAACTTTGTCTTCAGAGTTTCTGGCCCAGTCCACCATCCCTTTCCGTCCCTTCATTGGGAAGTTAATGTCTGTCGTCACAGATAGCGCAGGCAGCCTCTGAATACTTGCAACTAAAACAACAACAACAATGAAAATACGTGTTAAGGCTACCAGTTCTTTAAACTGAAATGAAGCTTAAACAACTGAAATAAGTTACTGTAAAAAATAGTACTGTAAAAAACGGTAAACTACTGGCTGCTGTGGTTGCCATCATCATACCGTAACTATACGGTGTGTTACTGTTTTTGTGTAAGAGCATACACCCGTTAAATTAAAGTTTTATACTGTAGCTGACAATACGGTATTTAGCTGTTAATTTAAAAAAAAAAAAAAAACAGTAACACACCATATTTTTATGGTATGATGCTGGCAACCACAGCTGCCAGTAGTTTACCGTTTTCTTACAGTATTATTTTTTATAGTATGAACTGGGAATAAAAAAAAATGAACATCAAAACTGCAGCACGTGTTTCTTTAACATATTGTTTGGCATCATTTGACAATAAACAAAAGTTAAAAATCAGTATTCTGTGAAATTAAGTGTTCTTCACCATTAATCAGAAGATAATATATTTAAATATGAAACATATAGAAATGAAATGCACATTTATATAGTTTGCATTTTCAAAAATAAAAATAATATGTATTAAAATTTAGTTAAAGCAGTAATAGGAATTTCTTTAAAAAATCATTTCATTTTAATTCGCACTTCCTCAATTTCCAATTCAATGATACATCCTGTTTGCTACCTCAATTAAAATGCCAGAATTGAATCTGAATTGACAATGTTTTTAAAATAGTGTTAATTTCGTCCGCTATATATATATTTCGTCACTGTGTAAACTAAAAACGTAAATTTGTGTAAACAGGGACGTGTTAGATGCAGGTGCGTAGTGTTTCTTTACAAAGTGACATCGCCAACTACTGGCCTGGCATGCATAACCAGTCTGCACAGCAGAAGAGAGAATTATCAGGTAATTGCTCATTTGTTGAGATGTAGGTGAGCCTTCTGTGTGTATGAGTAGGCGCAGGAGACTGGCAGTGCTGCCAGCTGCAGTGTGTGGGGAGCTGCATGGGGGAGGGCATTAGTCACAGGAGCACATGGGGTAGAACTGAAAAATGGTGGGTGAAGCGGCTCACACCTTAAGCTCTAAATATCACAGGCCCTTTAGTGATCTTTACGTCCAAACAGGCTCCTATACTGAATAAATCCTGTTTAATTTATGTGCCATGGAAATATGGAAGTTAATTATATGTGTAGGGTTGCAAAATACACCGCAATTACATAAATATATATATTTTTCCCCCCATTATTGCATCAGTTGATATTGGATATTCAAAGGGACACTGCACCCAAAATTGAAAATCCTGTCATCATTTACTCACCCTCAAGTGTTTGAAAACCTGTGTGAGTTTCTTTCCTCTGCTGAACACAAAGGAAGATATTTTGAAGAATGATTGGAACAAAACAGTTGTTTGGCAAGACTTCCATAGTAGGAAAAAAAAATGTATAAAAAATACTATGGAAGTCAATGGTGCCAAAGTTCCAATCGTTCTTCAAAATATCTTTGTGTTCAGGAGAAGAAAGAAACTCACACAGGTTTGAAACAACTTAAGGGTTAGTAAATAATGACAGTATTTTTATTTTTGGGTGGAGTATCCCTTTAAGTGTGCATGACCATTTCCCCTATTTTTACATTTAAATCTTTAGGCTACATGCCAATTTCAAAGTTAATCTTCAAAGTTTTTTTATATAAAATAGAATCATTTATTACACTGTAAAAATGCCAAAATCAATATGACAATATATGTTTTCACATTAATTGTCTTGAGCTCATTAAAATAATTTAAGCAATGTCTACTTTTTTATTTAAGTTACAGAATTAGAGTCAGTTTAATATAATTTAGTTTGAAGTTACTTGTACAGTCAATTTAATTATACTTAAACATTTAAGGCAGCGACATAACTTAAGTAATAAGTTAAAATAGGTAGACTTTTTTGTTATCAGCGTCATATTTAATAATTTGCATGCATCCCTACTTATAGGAGTTTCAATTGTTTATAAATTCAAAATGAATGAAATAAGATTAAATATCTAATAAAATTATACGATTAAGCTAAGATATCCGAATAGGTATCTATGTTTGGAAAAGCACCAAATTACCATAATATTAACATGATTTCTGCAGTATTTATGTAACAACACTTAACATTTCTGTTTGAATTGTGGATTGTTGAATACTAGTATGCAGGTTTACATAAAACAGTAGGCATTACCAACAAAGCAAAATAAACAAACAAAGAGACAAAGAAAAAAAGAAAAAAGTTGAAGAGCAGTGTTGTGCAGTGAAGGGCTCCTCTTATAAAAAATCATCCCCTTCAACTATGATTTATTCAGTGCATTTCACGCTGCGTGTGAGTTCCCTTTAGTTGGGATGCGCTCAGAGATGTTCAAGTCTGTGGTGGGACGGCGCTGTGGGTAACGGTCCTCAGGGAACCCAGCCAGGAGGCATCAGCACCTGCGCCCACCTGTAACTAATGAGCTTAATGACTGGAACCTACCGAGCAATATCAGGCCAATACCGTCACGTCAAATATTTTGGTGCAATCTCTGCTAAATGCGAAGGTTAGGTTACTTATTGGAGCAGACGACAGGGTCTCTCGACTCATCTGGGCAATCAATGCTCACAAATCAATGTCCATTAAACACATTAAAAAAATCTAATTTCAGCTTTAAAGAGCTGCAACCAATACAAAGTCACTGTTTATTCTTACGAGAAGGCATGCCGTGGAAAAAGGAGACTCTGCAATCAAGGTTATTTGGCTAAAAGCGGACGCAACAGTGCGTCGTGCTGACAGAAGGTATTTATTGTGGTGTCAAGAACGTGCCATAAATTTGGCTGGGAATGATGCTGCAATATCTTACTATGACGGATGATTTTCATTTGGCTACAGTCACAGCTTTGTTCTTTTAATCAAAGAGAGCAGACTTTGGCTGAGATTGTTGTTTGATTTCACTGAAAATGTTAAGGAAATTGAAAAAGTTTGAAGAAATTAAGAATTTATTTAATTAGTTAACTACAAAAAGACTTTTGGTCTGTAACAGATTATATTCATTGATAAATTGTTAATAATTTACACAATGTTACATAATATGCAAATAAACTATTTCATTAAACAAATGAAATCATATGACATTTGCTGAAAATGTTTTATGGCATTCAATAACAATCTGGAAATCAAGAATATAAACAAGTTAAACATTAGATTAGTGCTTTTGTGATGGTGTACGCACAAAAAAAATATCATGGGTCTTGTCATTTTCATTAAAAAACATGATACAATTAAAAAAATATTGTGTATATTTTATAAAAGAAAATTGTGGTTCAATGTTGTATAAATATTGAGAACATTTCACAAATACATTTTCCAATTTTGTTTAAGAAAACACAATTTTGAGGCTTAAATTGAGGAACCAATTAAGCTGATAAAATTAAAGGGGTGGTAAAGTATGATTTCACTTTTCTAACTTTAGTTAGTGTGTAATGTTGCTGATCATAAGCGACATTATCAAAGTTACAATGCTCAAAGTTCAAAGCAAAGGAAGATATTTGCTTTTAAAGAAAAGGACTACAGCAAACGGCTGGTAGGGACTACACAACATTCCTCCCGGGTTAGTGACATCACCAACCCTAAAATGTACATAAACCCCACCCCCGGGAACACACAGTCCATGTTGAGAAGAGGAAGAGTGATTGTATAAGAGTACAGCTCAAACTTTAGCATCCATCTTTTCACATGCAATAGAAAGTCACTCTGTGTGCATCTCACAACAGTTCCTTTATGAGTGATTTATAGATTACATGACAGAATATCCTAATTGAAGATAGTTAACTCCACATCAGCAACATAAATTCATCAACTAACCAATACAGAGACGTCCTGTTGTATTCTACATGTTGTCACTTCTTCTTGAGTCTCTCCATCTTTGACTGACTCCGTTTTAAAATTAAAGGAGAACAGTTTCTGTTATTTTAGTGTGTCTGCGTGAGGAAATTGCAGCTGCTAATACACTGCAGCTCATTTGCATTTAAAGGGCCAGGCACAAAACGGTGTGTTTTTGCAAAGCCTACATTTTTTATTTATTTTTTTAAATTTAACATGCTATATAAAAATATCTTTTGGGTATTTTGTGCTAAAACTTAACACACACACACTGTGGACATCAGAGATTTATTTTACATCTTGTGAATTGTACCACCCCTTTAAGGAAAGATGGTTACCAATTTACTAGCTCAGAATTAGCCCAATTATGTAGTTTTATTTAGAGACACCATTGCTTTTCACATCGCTGGTAAAAGAGAGAGGACATATTGAAATGAAGTGTTATTGTATGTGTTTTTGAGGAAAGGGAAACATCTGTTAATTTGAAAGAGTTTCTGTTGAAGTTTTGATCGTTAGCATTGTGCATAAGAGTGAGGCTTATAATAAGGTTGTGAATAACTGCATGTATTGTTCTCTGAAGCATGTTGCTTTGTTCTGTGAGCAAAAACTTTGTTATAATGCTAGTGCAGTGATATGTTTGATTATGTGCTGTGCTAGCGCCATACAGTCTTTTAATAATGCATTATAACTCAAAGTCACATATAAACACGTTAATTCCATTCACTCTAATTCACACACTTCAACTTATAATAAAAAAAGGATATTTCACTAAAAATATGAAATTCACTGCATCATAGACTAAATAATTAAGTGGATTTTACATGATTTACTTAGGTTGTTATGGAATAACTTCATATACTGCTATGAAATAAATCAATTCTTAACTACTCAAATATATTATGTGTAATATTGTATTTTTTTATTAAATAGGAGTAACTTTTTTACAGCAATATATATATATATATATATATATATATATATATATATATATATATATATATACTCTAACAATGATGGGTTGTTCGAACCCAAATTTGGGTAAAATATGGACAAACCCCAATGTTGGGTTAAATATGTAATTTTAACCCAACTTCAACTTTCACTTCCAACTGTACATTTTTTTATTGCTTTTTTTAACCCCACATTTGGGTTTGTCCATATTTGACCCAAATTTGGGTTGAAACAACCCAGCATTTTTTAGAGTGTATAAACAATCGTATGTGTATATATACCATCCCAAAAGCACTAATGTACTTTGTAATACAAGTTTATCTAGTCTTGATTTCCAGATTACGTTGTTCCACAGAACATTTTAATGTTTCCCCGTTTCAACATCATTGATGAGGCTAATACTGTTAATACTACTATTTTTATAAAAAAACATTGATTTTGAGGCTGCATAATGAAATGGAATTATGAATGCTTTCTGAATGAAGTCTTTTCAAAAGTTAGTTTAAATTTCTTTTCATGTAAATGGCTGGTAATAATCAGACAAAAACAGAGACGTAATGTCTCGAAAAGACTTATTTCAATAATGTTCTTGGTTGTTTGAGTGATTGGCTAAAGCCTCTTTATGCATCTGTTACTGTAGCAGCAGCTGTAAGATGCAACATCACTCAGTTTCACCTTCAGACTACAGGAACAAGTTTCAATCACAGGTTTACTTTGCCTTGTCAGTGGCTGACATTGAGATGTTTATAGCTCTCCTGCATCATTATGATTGGCGATGTTCTGGCTGTGCGCTTTATCTTACACACAAATGTGGTGGTCATGTCTGAACTGGCTTGATGAAGATTCATTCTTGCTTGAAAAAAACGTCGAAACATCTGTTCTGCTAAACAAGGTTTTTGTTACATAAATGTGACAGCAGGCAAATAAACATAAATGGCACTTCCATTAATGAGATACAAAATAAGGCTCTCAAACTCTTGATTATTTTTATTTAAATGGCCAGTGAAAGGTGTTACTGAATCTCAGGAGGTCCAAATAAATATTATATGAGCTGTTTTGGATACAGTCAAGAAGGTTAAAGTCATTAAACGTAATGCTTACATGCTTTGTGTGCATTCACAGTAAATGTAAAAACAAACAAACAAAAAAACCCCTAAAAACTGATAATGAAATCTGTAATTTTCTTTTTTGTCCATACTAAGCAATCTCCAAATATTGCATTCTCAGACTTTGAATGTTAATGTCTATATCATAAAACAATGTAGCGGTGTTTAGTTCAATGGAATGAACTTTTTAATAATATTTGGGTATACATATTATAAGCACCATTTCCAAGCAATGTAGACTCCTCTATGTATCTCTTCTAAGATGAATAGGAAGGTCACCCTAATTTGTTGAGCTCTGCAATTACATGGGTCAATGTTCTGTGAACGAAGCAAATGTGCTTCACCACCGGAAGCGATTGCTCATTTTTTATTTTATTTTTGTATTTGCTCTTTAACTTTGATTCTGTTTAAATGACTGGAAGGGAAATCAGTATTCGTGTGTGAGCCGACATTTAGCATTGGAATCCGTTGAGTGACACAGGAGTTTTATGGGGAAAGGCATGAGTCATGCTTCATCTTATAATGGCCTAAACTGAAAAAAAAACCCAGAACAATCAGGAAAAAAATGTTGTTTTTGAAAAATGAAAATCAAAGCACGTTGCGATAGATGTAACTGAATCCAAACACAGTCTCCACTTTAAGCTGAAATAAGACAAGGCTGTTTGCATCAGAATTTAGCACATTAAGTGGAAAGGGCTTGATTTTAATTAACATTATCGACTGGTGGTTGTTTGCCCCCCTCCATGCACCATTTATCCTCAATTACTGACGACACGCAGAACTGACGAGAAGAGTCAGCAGGACGAGTGGCTGGTGGGACGGGTTCTGCAGTTCTCTTACCCAGGTTCCCTGTCATCAGGTAGGCATTGTGGAAGTCTTTCATTCCCAGGCCGACGATGTGGATGAACTCTTCAATGACCTGCATGAGCTCCACAGACCCTGGGTAAATCTAGGAAAGGGGGAATCGTGGGGGACAAAAGGAGAGAGAAGTGGAAAATGTTAATCCAATTCAATTTAATTGTCAGAAATGAAGTCAAACTTTTGCTGTCAAACTTCAAGGCTTAAAAGGTTAGAAAAAGACAGATAGATTTCATATGACAGGAAGAGAGAATGATAGAATAAAGTTGGTAGAATGAACAAATGAATTATAGATGGAAAAGCAGAGAGGCAGACAGATACAGACAGAAAGATAGATAGATAAAATGAACAAACAATAGCTAGACAGATAAAATGGTAGAACAACAGACAGACAGGCAGGCAGGCAGACATAGATAGATAGATAGATAGATAGATAGATAGATAGATAGATAGATAGATAGATAGATAGATAGATAGATAGATAGATAGATAGATAGATAGACATACAGACAGACAGACAGACAGACATATATATAGACAGACAGACAGACAGACAGACAGACAGATAGATAGATAGATAGATAGATAGATAGATAGATAGATAGATAGATAGATGGATGGATGGATGAATGGATGGATGGATAGATAGATAGACTGATAGACAGAGATAGACAGACAGATAGATAGATAGATAGATAGATAGATAGACAGACAGATATACAGACAGATAGACAGGCAGACAGACAGACAGATAAATAGATAGATAGATAGATAGATAGATAGATAGATAGATAAATAGACAGAGAGATAGACAGATAGATAGATAGATAGATAGATAGATAGATAGATAGATAGATAGATAGATAGATAGATAGATAGATAGATAGATAGATAGATAGATAGATAGATAGATAGATAGATAGATACATAGATACATAGATAGATAGATAGACAGGCAGACCGACAGATAGATAGATAAATAGATAGATAGATAGACAGATAGACAGGCAGACAGACAGACAGACAGACAGATAGATAGATTGATAGAAAGATAGATAGATAGATAGATAGATAGATAGATAGATAGATAGATAGATAGATAGATAGATAGATAGATAGACATACTGATAGACAGACAGATAGACAGACAGACAGATAGACAGGCAGACAGACAGACAGATAGATAGATCGACAGACAGACAGGCAGACAGACAGACAGACAGACTGATAGACACATAAATATATAGACAGACAGACAGACAGAGGTAGATACCAACAGTCAGTCTAGTAAAAGTCTTTAGACTCTTTGAAAAGAGACTATAATGTGTTTTTAAAGGGCACTTCCTCTGTCTCGCACACTTTGGAGCCCTGCATCCTCTGTTCAGTCATTCACAAAGACAAACTCATGCAGCAGAACTCAGAGACTCTCCAGAGGACCAGCCATCAGTGTCACAGCAAACTCAGGCCTCGGCCTGTCAGAGTACCTGTTCTCTTGCAGTCAATATAGCACCACGGTCTGCTGATCCAATCCCTGACCTTCAGGTGACTGAACTCAGCGATTTATATCCGCCATCACTCTGAGGGAACAGAAGGGCTAGGACAACTTTCATCATGAGCAGGCTTTTTTTCATGCTCATCAATGGATATTTAAGAATACAATATTCAATGAATCTTTATTTAAATTCAAATGCGAGTTTCTTGTTCACAACTCTCAGGACTTGATTGTATTAATCTGAAATTCATTTGGATCATGAAAAGTCAATGCTGCATAAAATAAAGGAATCTAGTGGCTGGGGAAGAGAGTTTGAAAAAAATAAGAGGTATTTGCGATGCCATACGAAAAGGAAATGTGCTTTAGGTGGAACAAGTTATTCAATTTTGACAAAGTATGAACAAACAAAATTGTTAAAGAAATAAAATTGTGTGCTCCAAAGATGCAGAATAAACAAGAATGTTCATTTAAAAAAGTAGGGTCAATTATGAATTTATATTAACTTTAAGAGTAACACTTTCAATTTGTTAACACCATTTAATACATTAACTAACATAAAATTACAAGGAATAATGTATTTGTACAGCATTAATTAACCTTTGTTAATGTTATTGAATAAAAACATTCATTCTGATGTTAGTTCACAGTATATTAATATTAATGTTAACAACTTGTGATATTTAAATGTAGAATACGGTGAGATTAAATAATAATGATTTTAAAAAAAATAAATTAAAAAGCCAAGTTATTTGAACCATTTTACCCAGGAGATTTACTGTATGGATTAATATGCCATATGACACTGTGTGCTTCCCATTTCTCCCATCTCATTAGCATCATCTGGACCCTCTCTCCTCATTACAACAAACAAAGCACAAAAACACATTGCAGCCAATCTGCAAAAGACAAAAAATAAATAAAGAAATAAAAACTCGGGTGCAGAAAAAAAACAGCACTGAGTGACATTTCATAATTAGCACCCTTAGTGAGGTGCAGAAACAGGGCGATGGAGTCACATATCTAATAATCCCTCTGGCAGGAGTCGGGCTCTGCATTGGCATGGGGGCCGATCTCGGGCCAAGCCAATCAGACAGGCTGCAGACGGGGAGAGAGTCGCTGAGGGTCGGTCAGACTGCTGGGGGACAGCAGAGAGCATCCCTCGCCATGGCAACAGCGCTGGGCTGGGAAGACAGCAGTGCGGGAAATGGCCGAGGCTGACGGCCATTAGATGAACCAGCACTGGTGATGCACAGTCACTTGTGCTGTCATATAATATATATTTATATTCTACCGTCATATCAATTTTCAGTATTGCGTACTCTTCTGCTGCATAGATTTCAGCCACAAGACATGAGTAAACATACTATACTACTACTATATGCAAACAAAGAGCCAAATAACTTTAACGTGTCATTTCCTTCACACACACACACACACACACACACACACACACACACACACACAAAAGGTATTAAAATAATATTAGCATATATTTTGGTTATGCACTGTAAAAAATAAAATAATATATATATATATATATATATATATATATATTCAAGATTTGTAATCACAACATTTTTTTTCAATTTTTTTTTGTCAAATCAACTTAAATAATTTATGTAATTCAGATAACATAATATTTTGAGTTTCTGGTGATTAAATCAATTTTCTCAATTTTTCATTTTGAATGAACTTAAAATTTTAAGGCAACCAGGTTACTTAATTTTTTTAAGTAAAACCAATAATATTTTTATATTATAAAATATAACAACACTTAATCTACAACTACTCTTCTGCTATTATGATATGGAAGATAAAAGTATTTAAAGTTTCCAAAAGTCTAGCAATAAAAAAAAAAAAAAGCTAAACATGCCCTTGAATACACTCTGCACCCTGTATTGTTCCCTGATTTTACCGTATGGGGGGTAAGTATTCATTTATCTATACCTTATGCAAACAGATTTGAAGAAATTTGTACCAATATACATTATAAGGCTATTTATTCACTCACATAAAAGTACCAAAATAATACTATATGTTTTTTGGGTATGGTATATTTTAAAAGCTGTTAATATTATGTATTTAACTAATATATTTGTTGCAGAATGTCTCTCTCTCTCTCTCTCTCTCTCTCTCTCTCTCTCTCTCTCTCTCTCTCTCTCTCTCTCTCTCTCTCTCTCTCTCTCTCTCTCTCTCTTCCGGTTTTCGGTTTCCATTGGTGTGAGTGAGTGAATGATTAAGTGAGTGTTTGTGCATGGGGAGCTAGCTTTTTGATGTTTTTTTTGGCATGCTGCTGTGGTGATTTTTCTTCATATTTCCTCACGTGCATGGTCAAGGTAAGACATCGTTTATTTTTATTTTTTTTTGCATCGGGCGGAAAACAGACGGAATAATAATTGTTTAAACTTTCGCGGGTATGGCGTCCGCCGTGACGCCGCCGCTGTCCATTGGACACGGGGTTCGGTTTGTTACTGATCCCGGTGTTACGATGGAGGAGGCTCTGATCGCAGTTGGTGAACAGGTAGGGTTTGATAATATTTCTCATGCGTCTAGAATGAATAAAGCGGCAGTAGTTTTTTTGAAAGTTGAACGCTTGGCACATGATTTGGTTGAAAATGGAGTGTTTATCAATGATTTGTTTGTTCAAGTTTCGCCGTTATCAGTGCCGTCTACAAGAGTAGTTGTCTCAGGTGTACCGCCTTTCATTCCAAGTGAGCTGATTGAACAAGAATTGCGTAGGTTTGGAAAGTTTGCGAGTGGTTTTAAGACCGTAACGCTCGGGTGCAAGGATCCGCGTTTAAAACATGTTATCTCACTTCGTAGACAAGTGTTTATGTTCCTAGACTCTCCAACACAGTCTTCGGATGTATCCTTTAAAATAAAGCATGGAGTATGAAATGTTTTGAATGTGGGGATGTGGGGCACAAGCGTCTTGATTTCCCGCACAGAGAACAAGCTGAACGTGCAGAGAACCACATTGTACAAACACATGAAGCTGATGGGCAAGGTGGTGCAGATTCTAGTAGTATGTCTACTGTTCAGGGAGAAAGAGTGCATAGTGTAGAGAATACTAGGACAAATCAAGATGGTAAGGTGGATGATGGTTCTTCAGAGCCATCAACTTCTGCTGAGAGCGCTGTGGCAGGAGGTGAAAATTACAGGGGAACAAATCAGTGAAGTTGAAGCTACGGAGAAAAGTGTACCTACTGACCAGAATGCTGTTGTTGCATCCGCGGAGAATGAAGTGACTACTTTGTTGAATGTTGGAAGTCAGGTGGAAAGTGATGCTGAAGAGATGGAACAGGATGAGTCAGATGGTGAAGGTTTTGATGGGTCAAATAGAGTGAAAGATTTGTATTCTCTAGAGGAAATTAATAATTTCCTGTATGAAACGTTTGGTCAGTCAGTTAAGGTCGATGATTACTTTGCTGACACAGATAAATTTATTAGGTCGGTGGCATTACTACAAAAGATGGTTAGTTTGGACTTGTTGGATGAACGGAAGCGGTATCGTTTGAGGAAACATGTCACAGCACTTAAAAAGGTTTCCAAGCCAAATAAAACAGGAAAAGGAAGGAGAGCTTTAGTAAGAAAATAGA